AAGCGGTGCCTCGGTGCACGCCCGGGATCCGAACCCGGGCCCCCAGCAGCGGAGCGCACGCACTTAACCGCTAAGCCACGGGGCCGGCCCTGATTGTTGCTTTTTAAAAATTTTTTAATAATGTTAATGATCTAGAACTAAGTACTAGAAACATTTGAGCTCAATTTTTTCCCGTGTAGTTGTTGCAGTAAAAACAGATAAGCAGGTGCTGACAGTCAGAAACCCAGAAAACTAAGGCAGAGACAGTGCTTTTCTGCAGTTTCATGTAGGTGGTAACAATGATCACTGTTTTTTGAGAGCTTTGGCCTTGAGTCTGCTTAACTGTCATCTTAAAAATTGTTTAAGAATGTAGTCAGCGTCTGTCAGTGACAGCATTTTAAGGAGGCTGTGTTTATGGTTAACTTCTCTGTATTCTAACGTTTTGAAAATAAACTGAATATTCATATGGAGTAGATGTTTCACAAATGGACAGGACTATAAAGCTTTTAGGTGAAACATGGGTTATGAATGTAGTTTCATTTTGTTGTGGCACTGATTTTATTAATTGATGCTATTGTATTAATCTTGTATTATTACTTCTCCACAGTGTACAGCAGGAGTCACAATCAATAAATGTTAAATATAAAAGAAATAAAGTCTATCATAGAGCACATAGTTACATAAAATTCTTTAGCAAATATAAAAAGAGCCTATGCTGTCGTTAACTTGATATCTCCCTTTATATAATAGAATACAGATCTAGTAATGTAAAGTGGTTTATTTCCAAAAGAAGCATATTTTTGTTCAGTAAAATGAGAATACATCTCTTATGGAAAGTTGTACAGAGCAAATCTACTTGTCTACTATGACTTACCCCGCCAACTAATGTTAGCATGCACTAGAAATATTAAATGACTGCGGTTCAACAGTGTATCTTTTTTATTTAAAATCCTTTTCTTGGGGCCTGCCCGGTGGCGCAAGCGGTTAAGTGTGCGCACTCTGCTGCGGCGGCCCGGGGTTGCCGGTTCGGATCCCGGCTGTGCACGGACGTACTGCTTGGCAAGCCATGCTGTGCCAGCGTCCCATATAAAGTGGAGGAAGATGGGCACGGATGTTAGCCCAGAGCCGGTCTTCCTCAGCAAAAAAAGAAGAGGATTGGCAGATGTTAGGCTGATCTTCCTCACAAAAAATAAAAAAAAATAATAATAAATTCCTTTTCCTTTAAGCTTTAATAGGGAACGACCTGGTATTCTCAACACTTTATCTTCCTTCATGTATACTTTTCTTCCTTGTTTAGCTCGAACATGCGAAAGTTACACAGACAGAGTTGGTGCGTGAGTCATTTAGACAGAAACAAGAAGCGACCGAGTCCCTTAAGTGCCAAGAAGAACTGCGAGAGCGCCTTCATGAGGAGTCCAGGGCCAGAGAACAGCTGGCTGTGGAGCTCAGTAAGGCTGAGGGTGAGTACCTTGCCGTTGGCTACTGAGGGTGGAGAAATTTCAAGTCTAAAGATGGAGATTTTGACACAAGCCAGATTTGGAAACCACCAATCTTCTCTAATTTAGAGTGACCACTGAAAAGTAGTTGTAGGGCTGGCCCCGTGGCTTGGCGGTTAAGTGCCTGCACTCTGCTGCTGGCGGCCCAGGTTCAGATCCCGGGCACACACCGATGCACCACTTCTCCAGCCATGCTGAGGCCGCATCCCACGTACAGCAACTAGAAGGATGTGCAGCTATGACATACAACTATCTACTGGGGCTTTGGGGGAAAAAATAAATAAAAATAAAATTATAAAAAAAAAAAAAAGAAAGAAAAGAAAAGTAGTTGTAGTTTGTCTTCAGAGTTCCTCTGAGCAATTTTTTAAACCATATATATTTTGGGGGCCAGCCCCAGTGGCCTAGTGGTTAAGTTCAGCATGTGCCACTTTGGCAGCCCGGGTTTGGTTCCCAGGCTCAAACCTACACCACTCATCTGTCAGTGGCCATGCAGTGGCAGTGGCTCACATATAAAAAGAGGAAGATTGGCAACAGGTGTTAGCTCAGGGTGACTCTTCCTCAGCCAAAAAAAAACCTGTCTTTTTTTTAATTATAGAAGTACTTAATAGAATTACAGAAAATATTTAAAAATTTAAAAAATACAGAAGTGGATGATGGTGAGCTATTACCGTAATTCCACCATCCTAAAATAACTCTTAAATCATTTAAAGATGAGAAAACTGAAGCTAAAAGATGTTGATAAATTGTTCAAGGTCACCATTAAATGGTGATGCCAGGCTTAAAACATCTAAAGCCCTATGCTCTTTATATTCTACCATGCTGTTGTACAAGGGTGTTAGCCTTCTAGAATCACTTAAAATATCAGCTTTCTCTATTATATTTAAAATGCAGTTCAGTTCACAAGCATCTCATTTGTATTAAGCTGACCAGGAACCTATCTATTTATGTCTGTTTAATAAAGTGAGTTACACCTACCATGATGTGACACATTGGTGTAGCAAAATAATAGAAAGTACAGAGGAATTTCGTGTTTAGACACAGTGGTTAACAAGAAATCGGCTGTATTGAACATACCATAGTTACTGCTATCATCAGCAGCAGATTCATTCAAGACTTTTAATAGGTTGGAATGATTTAAGATTTTGCTAACAGTATACCTTTTATTGCTTATATTAAAACCTAATGGGGGGCCGGCCCTGTGGCTTAGTGGTTAAGTGTGCCCGCTCTGCTACTGGTGGCCCAGGTTTGGATCTCAGGCACACACCAACGCACCGCTTGTCCGGCCATGCTGAGGCAGCATCCCACATACAGCAACTAGAAGGATGTGCAGCTATGACATACAACTATCTACTGGGGCTTTGGGGAGAAAAAGGGAAAAAAAGGAGGAGGATTGGCAATAGATATTAGCTCAGGGTTGGTCTTCCTCAGCAAAAAGAGGAGGATTGGCATGGATGTTAGCTCAGGGCTGATCTTCCTCACAAAAATAAATAAATAAATATAAATAAATAAATAAAAAGGAGTGCATGTTATTTAAAAAAAAAAAACTAATGGTAAAATTTGAAATAAGTAATAATCCCATTCCCTGTTAATTTCATTTTATAGGTGTCATTGATGGCTATGCAGATGAAAAAACTCTTTTTGAAAGGCAAATTCAGGAAAAAACTGATATAATAGATCGTCTTGAGCAGGAATTGTTATGTGCAGGTAGTAGATTACAAGAATTGGAAGCAGAGCAACAGCAGATTCAAGAAGAAAGAGAGTTACTGTCCAGACAGAAGGAGGCTATGAAAGCAGAGGCAGGCCCAGTTGAACAGCGTATGTATTTTTGGACTTTGTATGAAACATTCCTTAAAAGTTCAAGGTGGCTTTTTTTCCCTTTTCAGTGCCATTATTCATTTATTTTATATAGGGATTGAAAAATTATAAGAAAATCAACCTTACTGGTAAACATCTTATTAGCTAACCATGTGGAATCAAGATTTTACCCCCTTTGGAAGATATTAACAGGAAAAGATAATTCTTCGTTTATCCTCAAACCTCTGGCTCAAGAGAAAGCTGCGTATAACGAGGCAGGAGTTTTTTTTAATTATGTAAGGTTCAGTTCTTTTAATAGCAGAGAGGCAACAAAAATGTATACTTGGATTAAATAACTAAGTGCACTGATCTGGCACTAGTAGTGAGCAGCTGGGGATGGATTTCAGCCTGCGAGAGAGTAGATTGAAAAGGTCAGTGGCTGTTAGAAGCAGGCTGACATCTAGTTTAATCTAAGTAATAGTTCAAAGAATATATAAATTTACAGATTAATAATTCCTTAAATAAGAAATTAGGTAACATCTTGAAGTAAATTTTGTTGAGCGGTAAAAAATAGTCTTTGTAATGATGGAACTTTAAATCCTTTTTATCATAGCCTCTCACTTTTATGTTACACACGCAGTTAGAATTAAAAATGTATAGTTTCACTAATTTTATTTTATCAATTTAGAAATACAACGTACATTTTTGTAATGTGAAGTTCTTTCTGGGTGCTCAAATTTGTTTAACACAGGTTTAGGAATTTTTATTGTGGAAAGTAGACCATACATGTAAAACATTCAAGAAATACGGGAACATCTCAAAGCGTTACCAGTGATAGTAACTGATGGTTTCAACTTTCGCTACTAATTTTTGTGTGTGTGTTATCCTAGTTTAGGAAATAGAAGACGTAAATTATCACATTTGTGTTCTGTGTTTCTTTTTTCTGTTCTTATAGGACTAGTAGATGCTGCAGTTGATGCAGCACCTGGAGCAGGTGTGTTTATACAGTTGCATGGCCAGTCTTTGGGTGGTAAACTTACAACTCCCAAAATTGGGTGATTCTTGGATTTTCAACCAACTAACATAGCTCTAATTTTGCAGTTTTGCTGTTGTGTTTCATACTTATAGTTTTTGTCTTTAACAAATTAAAAAACTTTTCTTACAATAAAAATACATATTTATATTTGAAATTAACAACTGAAATTCTTAGTGACCACCATCTTGTTATTCCACAGGGCTTAAGACCGTTTTGATTTTTTTAAGAAAATGTTGTTTTATTAAAGCATTTTTTCTTTAACAAATATGTTAAACTGTTACAGCCTATGACTTTTCAGAATGCTTTTTCTAAATCAAGAAGTATATAAGATGATGGTATCAATAGGATCAATGAAATTCAGTAAATTAAGGAGACTTTCTGGTTGATTTACTTTTATATTAACATCTAAGTCACTATTGTTTTAAAAGGAAAGCTATTTTCTGTAGGTTCTTAGTCCTGAGTACAGTGTTGGCAGACCAGTTTGTATAAAGACTCTAGGATTATGTTCCTTTCATTTTCTTCATTAGGGGATTGTTTTACTTTGCTATATATACTTTGTTATTGTATTATTAATATTAACAGCTAATACTTACATAGTGCTTACCATATCCTACACACTATTCTTTACATATATTAACTCACTTGATCTCACAATAACTGTAAGAGATCAGTACTATTCCTATCCCCAGTTTGCATATAGGGAAACTGAAGGGCGTCTTGTTTAGTGTCACATAGGATGTAAGTGGCAGAGCTAGGATTTGAACCCACAGTCTCTGATCTCAAACACCACAGCACACTGCCTCTCATACTTGTCAGTCTTCCCTCGATACACATATATGTGAGCATGCAAGACTAACTCAGGAATACGGGTTTAATAAGGAGTAAGACTAACAGGAAAATATGATTGCAGTTGTATTTCTTTTTCTATAACTCTTACTTGCCTTGGTTAAAGATTTACAGTATTTGATCTTCATGTGTATTGTGTATGCATATAAAAGTGACTATGGGTTTAGAATGATTGATTTTTGCCTGAGTTGAATTTTTTCAATGTTTGAGTTTAATTAGACTTTGTTCTATTCCTTATAGTGAAATGGATTTTTTTTTTGTCATTTGTCGTTCTGTTTTCACAAAAATATTGTTTTTAGTGACAGGACATATTCTTTTTGTTAATTCTGTATAGTTTTACTGATATTAGTTTGCTTACTTATATAGGAATATGTTATTTTGATATTAAGAGAATATTTTCCTTTTTTAAGTGTCTTTGAAATAAAACTCAGATCTTTTATTTCCTGAAGGTAAAATTTGAACATACGGGTTATTTCACTATTATAACATCATTACTTGTGATTTAACTTAGTATATTTTTACATTTATGTACAGAATTATTACAAGAGACAGAAAAACTAATGAAGGAAAAGCTAGAAGTACAGTGTCAAGCTGAAAAAGTATGTGATGACCTTCAAAAACAAGTGAAAGCTCTAGAAATAGATGTCGAGGAACAAGTCAGTAGGTTTATAGAGCTGGAACAAGAAAAAAATGCCGAACTAATGGATTTAAGACAGCAAAACCAAGCATTGGAAAAACAGTTAGAAAAAATGAGAAAATTTTTAGATGTAAGTATTCTCAACTAGAATATTGATTTTCTCAGTGGAATGCTATTTGCTGCTCTTCTAGGTTGTGAATTTTAAATTATGAAGAGACTGTTGAATTCTAATATTTTCATCTATATGTGTATTCTACCAATTAATTAAAAAGTACTATTCTGGTTAAAAATTCTAGTAATTTATTATGCAGATATCAGAATTAAAAACAATATAGGCAGATTATGAATAAGCTCTATCAGTTAGCCTTTCCAAATTCAGAGTTAAGAAGCTTGTCCTAGTCTTTCCTTTAACCAACAACCAAAGCAGGTGAAGATACTGAGCTAATTGGCCACCACTGTTTCACCCGCAGAAGATAAGCAGGTAATAATGTGCCCTTGGAAACACGGAACTGGCACAGTTGTCATTTCCCTCTTCCATAAAGATGTTAAATCTCTAATTTGACGTGGATTTATTTTCTTTGGGGTTTCACTTATGCCTGATGTTCTCTTCACAGATCAAAGAATCAGATTCGTATACATTTTGTAATTTTAGGTGTAAAACCTAGATTAGGATGAAAGAAATTGATTTATCAAACAATTTGTTCTACTTACTTTGTTTAATGACTAAATGAATGGTGGAATTCCTCCTTTGTTCCAAAAAAGTAAATTCATTTTAAGGAGAGTATTTTTATTTCATTTTCTATTTAATGCTACTTGAATAAAAAAAGTCATGCTTCGAGTAATATTTAAATGCTTAAATTTTTGTTGAAGAGCTCAAATAGGCTATGTACCGTATAAAAAATGTTATGTACCGTATAAAAAATGTTATCTTTGTAAACGTTTTTGATTTGGGATCTTCTGTGGTCATCAGTTACTTTTCTTCAAACAAAACTATACCTGTAACTTAAGGGAAGTAAGGGAAATAATAATATCAATTATATTGTTTCCTCAGTTACTCTTATTATTATTATTAAACTTCAGGAGCAAGCCGTTGATAGAGAACATGAGAGAGATGTATTCCAACAGGAAATACAGAAACTAGAGCAGCAACTTAAGGTTGTACCTCGATTCCAGCCTATCAATGAACATCAAACCAGAGAGGTAAGAACTTTACTGATATTGTCTGCCTTACAGTAATGTATATATTGTGTATAAAATAAGATGCACATCTTGAAAAATTTTAAAGGAATTCTTTCTATTGTATAAAAATCTACAAAATCAGAAAATTAACTATTACTTCAACGGGAGAAGGTTCTTGAAACCCTAAAAATGTTTTGTATTGAAATTTGGAATCATTCCCATTTGCATTTATATTCTACTATTGCCCAACTAAATAAACTTTACTGCTCATTTTTCTGTTCCCAACAAAACTGATCAAAAGTGTTGTGTGTATTCACTCTTTATTTCCCCATCTCCCATTCTCTTCTCAATCCGCTCCAGTGAAGTTTCTAACCCCACTATCTCAGTGGGGTTTCATATCCTCTACTCTGTTGAAACTGTTCTTGTGCAAGTTACCCCCAGCCTCATGGCTACGTCCAGTAATCACCTGTCTGTCTTCATCGTACTTGACCAATCAGAGGCATTCATTACAGCCTTCTTCCTGAAACACTTCCTTCTCTTGGCTCCTGTGACACAGTTACTTCTTTGGACTCTTTCTCCTCTACCCAAAACAAATGATGGAGTACCCCAAGCCTTAGGCTTGGGCCTCCTTTTCTTGCCTGTTTATATTCTCTTCGTAAGCAGTTATATATAAATGACTCACATTTATATGTGAGTATAAATGACACAAGTCTCCAGTTTTGACATCTCTGGTCGAGCTCCAGACTTGAATATTCAGCTGCCCACTCTATATCTCCATGTAGATGTCTCTAAATTAACATGTTCAAAAGAGAGCTCTTGATTTTTGACTAGACCTCACCAAAGAAAGACAAGAATAAAAACATGTTCCGTCTTTATTTCAGTAAATTCTATACCATTTCCACCTTCCTCATTGCTGAGACCTAGAATTTATCCTTGATTCCACTCTTTCTCAACCCCTCTTCCAACCCACTGGTGAGTCAGGTTGCACCACATCTTCCTATTCTTTCTACTTTCCTTCATCTCTCCAAATCCTAGCTGTCAGCATTGTTTGCCTGGATGGTTGTGGTAGCCTCCTTACCACTCTCCCTGCTTCTACTTTTCACCCCACCTGTCCATTTTCCTCATATAGAGACCTAGTCAGAACTCCATATTTACCAAATGAATGCTACATGAATGAGGGAAGATGCACTGTATAAATTGCTAAAGATGGCTTGTCATGGTTATAAACAGATCGTCCTAGGGGTTAAACCATTCCAGGTTGAATCATGGCTCTGCTATTTATTAGGTGTGTGACAATGGCTAAGTCACTTTCTAAAACTTGTTTACTCATTTCTAAAATAGAGATTGTAATAGAACCTCATAGGAATATTGGCCTGGTACATAGTGAATACTTAAATGTAACTATTATTATTTCTGAAAATAATTTTTAAAAAATTTTTATTTTTTATAAAATTGTATATAATTTCTATGCAGTTTACTCGATATTGTTTCTCTTAAAAGAATTCCAAAGTATAAAATGCCTATAAACTTATTATAGTAAAATATTATCTATATTCTCTTTGAATAGAAGTACTCTGTTGTAGAACAGCCTCGTCTATTAGAGCATTAGAAAAGTTTTCAATCCCCACAGAGTTTGTAGTTATTGGCCTTACTCCTAACAAACATATTTTCAGCTTTTGAAAAATAGCCGTGTTTTTTGATACTCAAAAGCATATTTAAGCTCTAGAACTTATGTCATTTCCTATTGTTTTCTTATGTTTGAAAAGTGTGACCAGCCTCATTCATGAAACTTGAAACTAACAAGGATGTGTATATTTGATTTTCTCCCAGAACACTGTGATCCATTTGTTCTCTCCTAACCTTGCCAGAGCTGATTCCCCAGCTTCTGATTTTCTCAAGATCAAAAAAATTCCAACTGTAAAAGTATATTGTGCAAATTTGCTGTCCCTGCTTTGTTTTCTTTTTCCTTGACCTTACTCCAAATCTTAGTCCACCCATTATAGTTCAAGCTTCTCCTGTCTGGCTTTATTACTGTCATCCTTGAGCCTGTAATTATAGATAAGCCTACAGTTCTTTTACTGTTTTGAGGAATAAGTATCATTTTTTTTTTTAGATAATTCCATCAAAATATCTCACTGAAATATGGTAGAATTCTTTTTTTTCTTACCATCACGTTTCGTTTTTCAGTAGGCTTTCTCTCTTCTCTTGATCATAACTAATTTCATAAGCTATCTTATTAATCCTTCCTGAATTCTTCCATTACAAAGCCATTTGCTTGAATGAACCTGCATATCAGAATCACTTAGGGAAACTTTCAGGGTGCACAGACCCTTCTCACCACCCCGCATTCTCATCTCTATTCTGGGCTGGTGGTATGCGTGGGCTGAAAAAGCTTTCCAAGTGACTGTATTAAAGCTCCCCCATCTTCTCCCATCCCTGTGACATTTAGAACCATTGTTATTATATGTATCAATTATAATTATTTGTGGAAAGAAAAATATAATCCATGAAAGATTTTTTTTAGGTCATCTTATCTCACATAAAATTGTTAAGTCAGTACTCTGCAAACTCGTTTGTCCTCTTTATTACTAAGGTTTTAGTGTGATTGTACCATTAGAGCTTGCAATTCAACATTATTGAAAAGTATAATTTTTTTCTCCTCCTAGCTAAGAAAGTCTTAGTTTTAAGAGAAAGAACTTTTTTTAAAGGATTGGTGAAAGCAATATTATTTCTCTTTTGCTAGTGCTACTTAGTTGTATCAGTTCAAAAAATATCACCTTACTTGGAGATAGTAGTTGCTGTCCTTATCAAAAATAAAATTAGCGTAATGTCTAAAAATACTTTTTGAAATGAAGATAGATGTTATTAGCTTGCTGAAATTTTTAAATTACTATTTTTTCTTAATATATATTTCCAGGTTGAACAGTTAACAAATCATCTGAAAGAAAAAACAGACAAGTGCAGTGAGCTTTTGCTCTCTAAAGAGCAGCTTCAGAGGGATGTACAAGAACGGAATGAAGAAATTGAGAAACTGGAGTTCAGAGTAAGGGAACTAGAGCAAGCCTTACTCCTTAGTGCAGACACTCTTCAAAAGGTGTGATATTTTCTTTGGGTTCATTTTATCAAGTGTTTTAATGCAGCTTACTCTTAGTTACATGAACATCAGTTCTTTTAAACAAAAAAATTGCTATTGCTATATACATAATGTATATATCTTTATGTCTTCATTGACATCATAACCATTTCTGTTTACACTTATTTCCAAATGTTGCTTGCATACTTTAGTCCTGAGAAAGGAAGATTAGTTAAACCAAAAGAATTAATTACCCTTTTAACCATCAATAAAATTGTGGTTCTAAAATAACAGCCAAGTAAAAAGGACATGGACACCAGTTTAGGCTGATGCTCTTCCGCAGACTTAGAAGTAATGACATCTATTCCCATTATACTGCAGAAAGCACAAATGAATAAAAAGAATAGTGGGATAAGGAAGCTTGGGAGGGGGGCAGTTGAGGAGATAGTCTTCATTAATCAACTTGTTGATTATTCACTAGTGTAGATTATTTACTTCTAAATTGGAGATATAGATTTGATATTTCTCCAATTAAAGTGGATAATCAGGATTAAAGTCTGAAATTCTTATATATTTAAAGGTAGAGGACCGAAAACAGTTTGGAGCTGTAGAAGCTAAAGCAGAATTGTCCCTGGAAGTACAGTTGCAGGCTGAGCGAGATGCCATAGACAGAAAGGAAAAAGAGGTAAGAGTATGACAAAATGTGATTTGAATTATTTTAAATAAGCCACCTTGAATATATCATTTACACAAAATGGAGTTTATGGCCTAAAACCGAAGTTGAGACTGTTTCTTAGCTCATTGCCTAAGTTGACCTTGAAGACAATAACATGTGAACAAATAAACTGCTGTGAGAAAGAGTATTCTGGGTAGAGGGGACAAGTGTAAAGGCCTTGACACAGCAAGTTTTGAGGAGGAAAAGAAGGTAGATATTAGTTGAAGGAAGAGGAGAGTGGAGAGATATACTAGTGTTAGGGCAAAAGGCAGTCTGTCTCTCTTCTCCTGACTTTACTATGGGGTTTGAGTTGTTGCTACTTTGCTGTGGGTGGGTTTAAGTTGTATTGCCCTGGGATGTTATAGTGCTGTTTTACAATATACTAAACATATTCTTAAAAGTTTAGTAATAAAGTAATTATATAAAATTCTCCTATGTTTTTCTACTCCCTCCCTTCCAAAAAAAAGAAACTCCCACCTTTAAAACGGTAGTAATTTCCAATTCCTAATTAAATTATAACTTATTTAAACTTTTGTCTATGAAATTTTTCTAAAACATATCGTACTGTACATTGTCTAGCTATATCGTATCATTTAACATGTTTAAAATTTTTTAAATTACATTTTTATGTCCATAAAATCTTTATAGGACATTTAATATATGTTAACACATATTTATTGAACTTAAATATAGAACTGTTAATAAGTGCTTTAAAAAATACAGGAATGATTTAGACATCAGCTAAAACTACAGATCAGACTTGTAGTTTAGAGGAGAAAAGAGCCATCTATATAAATGACTATAATAATGATCATTTCCACTAGAAGGGTTATTTTCTCACTATCACATAATACTGACTAATGTTTATCTAAGAGGCTCCTGTTTATTTTGTTTTTTGGTTTCTCCAAGGAGGGGGGAAGCACTTTTGTTGATATGTAACCACTTGTATGTGTTTCAAAAAGAATTAATATTTAGAGATTTACCTTACACTAAATAATCAAAGAAATTGTCTGCTCCCTAAAAAGGTGGGCCTTCAAAACTGGACCCAAAAGCTTCCAATAATTGTTTACTTTTTACTCAGAATAGTAGTTATTTAGAACTACAAGAGGCCTTGAAGAGTATCTGTCAACCAACTCCCAGTTTTTACAGATGAGACGGGGCCAGATGTTGAATGAGTAAAGGGTTAAACTGACCCCTGACTCTGGTCTACTAGTAGTTTTTAATAACAGTGACAAGTACTGTGGGAGAACCCACTCACCTGTAACTGGAGACTGAAAGACAAAAATGTAAAGTTGAAACATGTATCTTTTAATGAAAATAACTTCTTAAGCATTCTCTCCTGCACTAGGCAAATGTTTTCAGATATCTGATTGAATATAAACATAAGATGTCCATATGTGTCATATATTTGAGGTACTTTCTACTACTCTCATCACCTAAATTTGTGTAAAATATTTTTGTAAAAAGTTTATTATAATGTTTAGAAATGCAGAATGAATAGAAAGAGAAGAAAACTTGAAAAGAGGAGTTTCAAGATGATAAGAGGAGAATAGTGTGGAGAGAAATGAAGGAGGAATTTCTTTAAAAAAAATAACTTCAATAATGAGATCTAGCTTATAGATGGCAATAGTAAGTAATAATAGTTTACTTTGTTGAGATCTGTGCTACAAAGTGCTAAGTATTGTAAATGCCTTATGTCATTAATCCTTACACTCTCCCTGAGAAAAGGCTCTATTGTTATCTCCATTTTACAGAGAAGTAAACTAAGTCTTAAGAGAGGTTAAGTAACTTGCTCATGGTCACACAGTAAGTGGTTGAGCAAGAATTCCTCCTAGATTTCCCTGATTCTGGAGCCCCTGTGATGCTGTACTGCCAAAGCTTCAGGGCGTGTTTTCCTTGTTGGTAAGAAGTGTTAAAGACTGTCGTTCAACCTTTATTGAGCTCCTACAAGTGTAGACTACCACTGTTCAGTTGTAAAACCAGCACTGGACTTCAAGGAATCTGCTCTGTAACTAAGAAGACATAAACATTTAAAAGAGATAAAAACACTTAAAAAGAAAATCACAAATAGGTGCAAATTAATGTAATCCAAAGAGTCTAGATATCATTTGGTAGCTAAATTAAATAAGATTAAAACAAATAGCTACCAGTCTATTTTTAAACCTTAATAATACTCTTCTGGTTTTTGGTTGTTACAGACTCAGTAATAAGACAGCTTGGGACTGAAACTGGAGTCTGGCTGAATAAGAGGACAGAATGCCGTATAGTGTCTTTTTTGGGAATTGAATTCTCTGTTCTGATGCCTCAAGTTCAGCTACTTATAACAAGAATGTTAGTGCTTTAGACCAGTGCTTCTCAAACTTTAATGTGCATATGAATCCCCTGGGGATCTTGTTAAAATGTAGGTTGTGATTCAGTAGGCCTGGGGTGGGGCTTGAGAATCTGCACATCTAACTCGTTCTCACCTGTTCTGCTGCCCCAGGGACCACACTTTGAATAACAGTGCTTTAGATCACAGAGCGAAGAATTTGACCATAAACTGTTGTATCAAAAAAGAAAGTAAATATCATGTGAAGTAGGGCAGCAATTTTGAACTTAAATATCTATGTATGTGCTGATTTTAAAATAATACCTTGTGATCAGAAGTAGTAGTTGTAGAAGATAGGGATAGGTGTAAATACTATTATGTTAGATAACTTTGAAGAAGATATAATCATCACAGTTTTCCCTGATAATTATATTTGCACAACTACTAAATGTATTTAAGGTATGTCTTCTGAGTTTAATACCAGTGTTAAACAGAAAAGAAGTTTAAATGTAAGTCTTAGACATTAGTTATTAGAAGCAGGATAAATGATAGCTAGGATTGTAAGACTCCAGAGGTAAACTCCCCAGGGTCAAAAGCTGGCTTGACCCCATACTAGCTGTGTGACCCTGATCAGGGCAAGGTACTCCTCTCTCAGTGATTCCCTTCCTCATCTCTGAAATGGGGATTATCCTAGTACAGATCTCACAAGGTTGTTACAGAGTTTTAAAAAATTATATATATTTAAAGCATCTTATGCAGTGCCTAGCAGTAAATTTCATAAGTGATGGCTATTATTACTAGTATAGATACTATTTCTGTTAAGGAAGTATTAGGCTAAATGATTTTTAAGGTCTTTGCCTTGCCAGTGCTAAGACATGATTCTGTTTACTCATCAGCATGTAATCAGCATATGGTCCCTTTCAAGCTCTAAGGCAATAAATGATTTATATGCTGCTCTCTGAGCCAGCTGCCACTAAATGCTGCTCCTGCATCTTAGGTTGCTTTTAATGCAGCAATTTTGATCATCAGGTAAATACACATTTGGAAATCTATTCATTAAATATTTATTAAATAGCTACAAAGCAGTGAGCTGTTCCTGTCCTCCATCAAGTTCCAGTTAAATTTTAAATATAACAATAACTAGCCCTTAATATTCATCATTAGTTTCAGTGTCTATATAGCCATCAAAGAGTAATTACCATTAATGATCTATGCTTAGAAATGAGCTAAATTTCTATTGTCCTGCATATAGGAACTCTCTAATTTTCTCCTGAAATTGTGTTAATAACTTACTCTTAAGTTTCTGTATTTCAGACCTAAGGATCTCATGGTTTTAGTGTCTGCCTTTACTTCCTTCTGCTTAAACAAGGCACGTGGCAGCCAAACCTTTCGTTAGGTTAATTAAGTATTAATATAGACTAAATTGAGCTAGTGACTAAATTTAGCTAGTCTCACTTGGCTAAAACAACTGACTTAATTCTACAGCTTTTTTGAGCCTTTTGATAGCAACTAAATTTAACATAAACTGGGATTTAAAATGTGGATTCTTTCCCTTCTTCCCATGACTCTTTTCTGCTTTATCAGAAGATATTTTAGGTAGGAAATGGCTGCTTGTTCCTTCCTCTGAAGATCTTCTCTTTGCTTTGGTCAGGATGGTTTAAGGGTGTTCAGTTTGAACATGTCTAGAAAGCACACAGGTTCACCTGGCTGAGAGAAAACCCTTTCCTTTATTCTCATGGCTCATGTGTTGTGAGCATACATACTTCGTAGAGCTAACACAGCACTCTTCATTCTCTCTTAACAAATAACATTTGTATAAACAATTTTTTTCTCTTTTCTTTTGATTATTTTGGTATTAAAGATCACAAACTTAGAAGAACAGTTAGAGCAGTTCAGAGAAGAACTGGAAAATAAGAATGAAGAAGTTCAGCAACTACATATGCAATTAGAAATACAGAAAAAGGAATCTACTACCCGCCTACAAGAACTTGAACAAGAAAACAAATTATTTAAGGTAATTAGTTAAAACAAACTTTTGCTTTTAAATAATTCATAGTTTTCGTCTTGTGTAGCCTTGGTATTATTAAGCATTTACTAAATCCGGCTGCTAAATAATATTTACATGGGAACATTAGCTGCAAATGGATTCGCATGGAATTTATTTTCAGCTCATCATAAACATTTGAATTGGTCATAAATGAAAATTTTTTGAGACTTTTTCTCAAAATATCTTAAGAATTATTTATATACAATAACTGTATGATATCTCTAATTTTTTTCATGTATACATTTTGGGCACTATAGCTTTTATAAGTGTTAATTGAAAGAATGTTTGGAAAATCCCATGTAATGATCTGTGCCACTGGGATGGTTGTTTTTGTCCCTAGGATGAAATGAAGAAACTAGGATTTGCCATAAAGGAGTTTGATGCTATCTCTACTCAGGACCAACATGTAGTATTTGGGAAATTTGCTCAAATAATGCAGGAAAAAGAGGTAGAAATTGACCGATTGAATGAGCAGATTGCAAAACTTCAGCATCAACTTAAAATTACAACAGATAACAAGGTACACTAATTTAAAATTGATTATTACATGAAATTAAGCTAGAATTTTAAAGGGCAAAATAGTTATTTTTTCAGTTTCTCTTTGAATTTAAAAAACAAACCTTAATTTTCTTTTACCCATTAATTTAAAAAAAATTTTTTTTTGAGGAAGTTTGGCCCTGCGCTAACATCTGTTGCCAATCTTCTTTTTTTTTTTTCTCCCCAAAGCCCCAGTACATAGTTGTGTGTCATAGTTGTAGAGTTGTGACTCTTCTATATGGGACGCCACCTCAGCATGGCTTGATGAGCAGTGTGTAGGTCTGCACCCGGGATCTGAATGGGCGAACCCTGAGCGGCCAAAGTGGAGCATGTGAGCTTAACTGCTACGCCACTGGGCCGGCCCCATTAATTTTAATTTATTAAAACACATTGGCTTAACAAGCTATGTGTATTTTTGTCCCCTTCTAATATCGTCAAAGAGTTTTGATGTTTTTCAGGAAGTCTTTGGTGACTCAGATTTCATCATATCATTTTAACCAAATCTATTAAAAATTCTGCTATTTAGTAAGAGTTAAATAAGATCATGAACTTTGGGCACCATCTTCTATAGACTGTTGTTATTTCAATACTTCATCCTTTTCAATTGGAATGTATTGATATTGACTATTTCCACTTATTGGAAATCAGCTACTAAACATGTAAATCACTATATTTAACAGAACTTTCTGAACAAAGCTTCAAATGAGGCCATTGTTTGCTATGATGGGGGACTGTTGGTCTATGTTCAAGTAATGTAGTATGTCTGAAAAGTATATTATTTTTGTGTGTGATCAGCACTTTAAGATCCTGCCCTAAAATAAAATAAAATTCCCAAAATATAAATACATATTTAATGTGTATGTTACCTTTTTTGTTAACTAATAGGTTATTGAAGAAAAAAATGAACTGATAAGGGATCTTGAAACCCAAATAGAATGTTTAATGAGTGATCAAGAGCATGTGAAGAAAAATAGAGAAGAAGAAATAGAGCAGTTCAATGAAGTGATTGAAAAACTTCAACAGGAATTGGCAAATATTGAACAGAAGACATCAGTGGATACCAGTTCTCTCCCAGAAGAAGCAGATAGTTTAAAACATCAGTTGGAGATGGTAATAGCTGAAAAACTGGCTTTGGAACAGCAAGTAGAAACCACTAATGAAGAAATGGCCCTTACGAAAAAGGTGCTTAAAGAAACCACTTTTAAAATGAACCAGCTAACACAAGAATTATGCATCTTAAAGAGAGAACGTGAAAATATGGAAAAAATCCAAAGTGTACCAGAAAAAAATGTTAACGTGGCCATAGATGATCTGAGCAAAAACAAACCTGAGCTAGAAGTAGTCCTTACTGAGGATGCTCTTAAACCCCTAGAAAATCAGACTTACCTCAAATCTTTTGAAGAAAACAGCAAAGTGTCCATAAGCAGTTTGGAAACAAAGGTGCTACAACTTGAGGGCACTGTGAGTGCAAAGGACTTAGAACTTACCCAGTGTTATAAACAAATAAAGGACATACAAGAGCAAGGCCAGTCTGAAACAGACATGCTTAAGAAGAAGATTGTAAACCTGCAGAATATACTTGAGGAAAAAGTTGCTGCTGCTCTGGTGAGTCAAGTCCAACTTGAAGCAGTTAAGGAATATGCAAAATTCTGTCAAAATAAACAAGCAATTTCATTAGAATCTGAAAAAACAAATATACAGAATTTAAGTCAACTAACAGAAAATGAGACGGAGTCAAATGTGTCAGCATTAACCTTGAGAATATCAGAATTAGAAAGCCAGGTGGTTGAAATGCAGACTAGTTTGATTTTAGAAAAAGAACAGGTAGAAATTGCAGAGAAAAATGCTTTGGAAAAAGAAAAGAAGCTACTAGAACTACAGAAGCTATTGGAGGACAATGAGAAAAAACAGGGAGGGAAAGAAAGGAAAAGCCTTCAAGGAGATTTTGAAGTTCTCAAGGTTAGTTTGTTCTTGATTTTTTCATTTAAATACCCTAAGAAACTCTCTTTTCCTTTGTTCCTTAAGCTGATTGCTAATTTACTAAATTAAACAGTGTTCTTTACATCTAGCAATTCATATATAAAGGGTTTTTATGAAAATATTGCTATTTTGTACAATCACAGTATTATCACTAGAATAATGGAAACAAACTATATTTTGTGATTTTCAAATCACGATATTTATTTCACTAGCATAGCATTAAGTAGAGCAGTCAGAAGAAGCTTAGAAATGTGAAGCTTAGCAGATGTCCTCTGGAACTTGTGTAGGTTTTTTTTTCCCTTTCTCTCTAACATGCATATTATGTGATCATCCCTTTTAAGTAATGGAAAATATCAAAATATATTAGTATTCTGCTGAATTAATGTATGAGTGATGAGTCATTATCTTTTGCAAATTTTATACTTAGTAGATTTCATACTTTTCTAGGATAAATTTGTATTTCGCTCTTGTAAGTCTACTTATGTAAAGATCTGAAATTGCAGTTATGAGCATAGAACAGATATGAAAGGACTTTAATTTTCATATTCTCACTGTGTATATTTATAATTTGGAATAGTAAATGTTCAGTCTTATCTCAATACCAGGAGATTAACTGATATATCAGGATTCCTTAAATATATAATTTGTCACAAAGGATAATTCTTTCCATTTACTAGGCTTTTTTCTCCTAGCTCACTGGACCTATAAATTATAGTAAGTGATATTAAAATAGTAATGTTACTTTCCATATATATAAAGCTTCTAAGAAATATCTTAGTTACACTTGGTATCTTTTGAGGAAAGTGATATAAATATGAAAGTTTTTTGAATGGTTACAAAAAATATTTTCATTAATAATTCATACATTTTTAGGATATATACTAATGACATGATTTACCTTTCATTTCCAGAAAGCCATTCTTCTTTTTACTATCTTAAGAATATAAAATGATAGTTCTGAAAAAGTTTCCCTAGTTGTTGAAAGAACATGGATCATTTCAACTCCTTTTATCTGATAGACAGTCATTCCTGGAAAGCTTCATTAGAATGTGAAAGTGCCTTGAATTTGGCCATATTTTTGAAAATGATGTGTTTCTTATGTTTTCCACTGCCATTCAGACAAGTACTGAATTAATTCCTACCAATGAAGAAAGTGGATTTTTTGGTCAACTTGAGGCTCTTAGAGCTGAGTCAGCAGCTACCAAAGAAGAACTTGCCAGTTATAAAGAGAAGGCAGAAAAGCTTCAAGAAGAACTTTTGGTAAGATAAATAACATAGCTCCTAATTCACTTATTTCTACTAATCTCAGTTTCATTTTGAAGTATTTTCTCTTCTATAAAAACAAACCCAGATCCATAACTTAAAAGCTAGAGAAAAATAAAGTCTTTTGTGAATTTGATGGAAAGTTCCATTATCATAAATTTCTTTACTAACATATTCTTGCTTGGTTTTCCTTGGAATCTTTGTTAGGAGGATGCTTTTAATCTGTAGACTGTTAATAAAGGAGGAAAAAGAAAGATGTTAAAGAGAACTATATATCCCATGAGAACCCAAAGTACAGGCTGATAAAATGATTTCATTTCTGTGGTAATCTATGACCATGCATATACAAATATATGGAAACTGAGTGTTTCTGAAATTTTTTTTTATTATTATTCTGAGGAAAATGAACATATTACCATGAATTATATTCTCCCTCTACCCTAAACTTTACATTGGATGTTTAAAACTGCATCTTCTACTGTTCTATTCATTATATTTTAGGTAAAAGAAACTTATATAGCATTTCTCCAGAAAGATTTAATCCAAGTTAGGGATCAACTCACAGAGGCAGAAGAGAAATTATCCTACTTCTCAGAAAAAGAAGATAAGACTGGGGTACAAGAAGACAGGAAGGTCTGCATATTAGAGCCACTTCCTATTAAAGTGGGTAAAAGCTCTGCATCCCAGACAGAGGGGACTGTCAAAGTCAATAACAGCAATCAGACTCCACAAATTCTTGTTAGAAATGTAGGAATCCAAATTGATTTACGGAATGAATGTTCATCAGAAGAAGTCACTGAAATAATCAGTCAGTTTACTGAAAAAATCGAGCAGATGCAAGAACTACATGCTGCTGAAATTTTGGACATGGAATCCAGACATATTTCAGAAACTGAAACCTTAAAGAGGGAACACTATGTTGCTGTTCAGTTACTGACGGAGGAATGTGGTACCCTGAAGACAGTGATACAGTGTCTGAGATCTAAAGAGGTATTGGTTTTCCTTATATGTGTTTTTTTCAACATTCTATGATTTTTTTTTCAAAATCCTCAGTTTTTAAGAGAAAAAGAAAATTGAGGCTATCTCTTCCTTATGGTAAAATTACAATTTTAAGTATTTCCATTGTGTAGAGTCAGATAATAACTTTGCACAAAGTTCCTGTGCATATTTGGAACCTGATGTTATCGTTCCTTAATTCATGAATGTCTCTTTTTATTATGGTAGTGTCCCTGAAGGAAAACATTGAAGACTTCTTGTAAACCATGGATAGTTTCATCTAGTATGAAAGGTGTGATAGATTTGATTGAGGCTTTTTTTTTGTTTTTGTTTTTGTTTTTGACAGCATTACAGAAGAACAAAACTATTCATTGGACTCTATTTTTATTAAGACAAAAAACATTATGTGTTTTTTTGTTTTCTCTAATTAGGGATCCTCAATTCCTGAATTAATACATTCTGATGCTTACCAAACTAGAGAAATATGTTCCAGTGGTAAGTTATATCAATTTCTGGAATTTTTATAGTACTTGTTTAAAAAGTGATTCTTTTCAATAGTCAATGGTTTTCTTTATTTTAGATTCTGGATCAGACTGGGGTCAGGGAATTTATCTTACACAAAGTCAGGGATTTGACACAGCATCAGAAGGCCAAGGAGAAGAAGGTGAAAGTTCAACAGATTTATTTCCAAAGAAAATAAAGGTACTAAAAGACAGATATCTCTTAGTAAAACTTGGCCAGTGTGGTTTCTGTATTGAACATAGTGGTTTATTAGAAATTATACAGTAAGATCCACTCTGAAGACAGAATTGCATAGCTAGAAGGAACCTTGGGAAGCTGTTTAGTTGTATTTTCATATTTTGCATGTAATAAAGTACAATATATTTAATAGTTATTTGTATGAAGATTTTTTTTTTAAATAATTTTTATTCCTGATGTTTGCATTTGCCAAAATTATTAAAGCAGTCTCAAGGACTAGAAGTTAGCTATCTTCTGCATATTTCTTTTGGTCAAATTAGTGGCTAATCATTAAATCCAAGAAGAGTATATTAGATAAATAGAAGAAACTTAGAGATGAGAGCCACGTAGAGTCACAGACCATAGGAAGAAGGCATTCAGTAACAGTGGGCTGGCGTTTCCTGTCTGCAGTGGCTTTTCTAAATCAATCTAACTAGATAAACTATCTTGCTTCAAGTGTATTTCTCTTTGTATGTCAGACTTTGCAGAAGTTGTTATAATTCTGGCTTTTGGGTTTTGGTTTCTAGGGATTGCTGAGAGCTGTCCATAATGAAGGTATGCAGGTACTCTCTCTTACCGAGTCTCCCTATAGTGATGGAGAGGACCATTCTGTTCAGCAAGTTTCAGAATCTTGGCTAGAAGAGAGAAGAGCTTACCTCAGTACAATCTCATCTCTTAAGGATGTAATTACCAAAATGCAAGTGCAAAGAGAAGCCAAGGTACTGGAATATTATGCATCTAAATAGTTTTATATTTATCAATAAGGCAAATTACAAAGTAAATTATCTTTTATGATGCATTTTTACTGAATTACTATATGTTGTTTAAATACCCCATCACACCCTTGAAAATAAATTCATATGTTCTTAGACTTTTAATATTTATTTTGGTTAGTAGATTAATATCATTTTTAGAATGTTTTTCAAAACCTGCTTATTTGAAAACTAACTTTTGTTTTTTATACTCTGCTAGGTTTATGATAGTTCTCAATCTCACGAGAGCTTCTCAGACTGGCGAGGTGACCTTCTGCTTGCCCTTCAGCAAGTTTTCTTAAAGGAGCGCAGTGTTTTAATAGCTGCATTTCAGACTGAGCTAACAGCTCTAGGTACTAGAGATGCAGTTGGATTATTAAACTGTTTGGAACAGAGGATACAAGAACAGGTATCAAAATGAAATTTTAAACAATACATTAAAACAAAGAATGCTTTTTAATAATAATAATAAAATGAGTTATTGATTGGTTTTAGAGTAAGTCTGAAGGTTAAAATTTTAACACGGCCACTCAGAATATTTAGGAGAAAATTATTGGTTGTTAAGTGCTGTCAAGTTGGCTCTGACTCCTGGCAACCCTATGAATGAGTGATGTTCACACTGTCCTGTCCTCAGCAGCCCTGCTCAGCTTCCACAGACTCATGCCTATGGCTTCCTTTATGCAGTTGATCCATCTCATATTGGGTCTTCCTCTTTTCCTGCTGTCTTCTGCTTTTCCCAGAATTGTCTGTTCCAGCGAGTCCTGCCTTCTCTGGATGTGCCCAAAGTAGGACAGCCTCAGTTTCCTCACTTTTGCCTCAAGCAATAGGCAGGCTTAATTTGCTCTAAGACCCACATGTTTGTCTTTCTGGCAGTCCAGGGTATCTGTTGAGCTCTCCTCCAACACTATATTTCAAATTAATCGGTTCTTTTTCCTATCAACCTTCTGCACTGTCCAGCTTTCACATCCATACATAGTATTTGGAAATACATGGGTGTGGATAATCTTGGCCTTGGTCTCTAATGACACTTCCTTATACTTGATAATCTTTCCTAATTCTTTCATTGCTACACTTCGAAATCTCCGTCTTCTCCTGATTTCTTGACTGTAGTCTCCATTTAAATTGATAACTGAACCAAAGTAAATAACATCTTTAACAATTTTAATGTCTTCATTATCTACGTTAAAGCTTTGTAGTTCTTCTTAGTCATCATTTTTGTCCTCTTGGCATTTAAATACAGTCCTGCATTGGCACTTTCTTTTTGTCAGAAGTTGTTTCAAGTCCTTGTTGCTTTCTGCCAATAAAATGATGTCATCTGCATACCTTAGATTACTGATATTTCTTCCACCAATTTTCACTCCTTCATCTGAGTCTAGCCCAGTTTTTCATATGACATCTTCTGTATACAGATTAAACAGATAGGGAGATAAAATGCACCCTTGTCTGACACCTTTGCCTATCTCTGTCTCTGCATATTCTGTCTTGACAGTGGCTTCTTTTCCACAATACAGGTTACGCATCAGGACAATCGAGTGCTGAGTCATGCCCATTTCTTATAGAGCAGCCCATAGGTTTTCATGATCCATGCAGTCAAAGGCTTTACTGTAGTCTATGAAACATAGACTAACCTTCTGAAGTTCTTTGGAGCGCTTCAGTAGCCAATGGATAATCACAATTAGATATCGTGTGCCTCTCCTTTTTCAAAATTCAGCTTGAACATCAGGCATTTCTTGCTCCATATAAGGCAAAAGCCTTTGTTGCAGTACCTTTACTTGCGTGGGAAATCAGAGCAATCGTCCTATAGTCACTGATCTCCTTTCCCTGGCATCTCCTTTCTTGGGGATTGGGATGTATATGGAGTATTTCCAGTGTTTAGGCCATTGTTTTGTTTTCCATATTTGTTGTCAATTCTTGTTAGGATTTTGACAGATTCAGTCTCTGTGGCTTGAAATAATTCTATCTATATTCCATCTACCCCTGATGACTTATTTCTTCCCAGTACTTTCAGGGCAGGTTTCACTTCACTTTGTAGAATTACAGGTTCTTCCTCATAGGAATCTTCTTCAAAGGAATCTGTCATCCTTTCATCTCTTCTGTCTAGATCTTCAGTATACTGTTTCCACCTTCCCTTTATTTTCTCCTGATCAGGTAGTGTGCTTCCTTGTTGGTTGTTCATCATTCCTAAGCTAGGTTTAAATTTCCCTTTGATTTCTTCCTGTTTTGTTGTTCTCTTCTGTCTCTTTGCATTGGCCATTATAGGAGTTCTCTTTGTCTCTAGGTAACAGTCGCTGAAAAGCTGCATTCAGGATTCTAATCCTGCTTTTGCTACCTTTTACTTTTGCTTCTTACCTCCCCTTAACAAGTTTTAGTGTTTCTTCTGTCATCCATCTCGATTTTTCTTTTCTTTTTACTTCAGGCATTGTGTTTTTGCATTCTTTCTTAATAATATTTTTGGTTTCAGTCCATAGTTCTTCTGCTTCTCAGTCAGTTAGGTTTAACTATGTAAATCTGTTATTTATGGGGACTTTAAATTCATCACGAATGTTGTTTATGTTATGTTTTGGCACTGTGATTCTTTTAGTGCTCTTCTTCGGCTTTCCTCTGATATTTGATATGAACAATTCATGGTCAATACCACCTGGGCTTGTTTTGGCAGAGAGAATACAGCTTCTCCATCTCCTGCTTCCAATTACGTAGTCTATTTGATTTGTATATTGGCCGTCTGGTAATGTTCATGTATACAGTTGTCTGTTTGGTTGCTTGAAGCATGTATTTATGAAGGACAGATTGTTGGATTTGCAGAAGTTCACGAGCCACTCTCCTATTTCATTTCTGACCCCTAGTCCAAATTTTCCAATGACATTTGATTCTGCTTTATTTTCCACTTTTGCATTCCAGTCACTTATAAATCTCAGCATGTCTTGTTTTGATGTATGATCATTTCTTCCTGGATACTTGGTGTAAAAACTTGCATAGAAAATTATTACCTTAAATGTTTATCTTATATTAGAAGTTACAAAGACTGAATATTAATGAGCTAATCATCCCATTTAGGAAGTTAAAAAAAAGAGCAACAGAATAAGCCCAAAAAAAGTAGAAGGAATAAGATAACAGTCAATTCTCCTTATTTCTAGTAGTTAGAGTCTATAAAGTTGCCTCAAATGCTGAGCCATTGCTACTAGGGGAAATACATGCGTAGGTCCTGTAAGCCCCTAGTCACAACATTTTTGTCAGCCAGTCAATACATAACCATGTTTTATGTGTGTTTCTGTTTAGGACACCATATTTATTATATATTGTTGATTCATTAATGTGGAACTCATGGCCAACAGCACTATAACTCATGCCTAAAGGAAGCTCATCTAGCGCATGTATTTTGTCCGTAAAAAACATGACAGCCTTCTTGTGCTTAGGAACACTAGACGCACTTTACAGCCATGCTTGGGGACCATTTTAAACAGCAAAATCACCAATGAAAAGCACAAAAGTGCCAAAAACACAGTACTAAATAGATGGCAAAGAGGATACTTGTTTACAGTATAAAAGATGAAAGAAGGCAGTATCACGTTGTTCAGCTTCAGCTAGGGGCATGTGCATCTGGCAATTTAAATTTTTTGCCACTCTACACATTTCCAAATGACCATAAAAGCATCACAAGTATTGATTTTGAGGTTACAGATAAGTTTTAGTGAATAGGCAGATTTCTAAGTACGTAATCTATGAACAATGAGGATCCACTGTAATAAAGAAAAGGAAGTTAGTGAAATACATCCCCTGGTAATAGGATAAAAATGTTAATAGTTGGTTCTTTGAAAGGCTAATAAAATAGAAACTATTCTGGAGAATTGGTTAAGGAAAAAGGTAAAGCACACTTTTTTAAAAGTTAGGAATGAAAATGGGATCATAACTAACTATATGGCTGAGATATAAAAATAATAGAATATTATGAATAATTTATGTAAATTCAAAAACTTGGGTGAAATGGATAGACTTTCTAGAAAAATATTACTTATCAAAACTCATTCATGAAGAAATAACCTGAAAAGACCCATAACTAGTAAAGGAATCAAATCGGCAATTAAAAATCTACTCACGGCACTTAGCACACAGATCTTGATTTTTAACTACATTCTCCATTAAAAGGAACTAGGACTCCTTGGAGAAATGGCTGATTCCAGGCTGGAGCAGGAAAAGTACAAGATGAACCTGGAATATCTTGTTTTGCTGACAAATAAGGAGTTGTTCAAAGAATGAAAGAGATATGTCAAAAGGTCACAGAAGCCAGCTTCAGGAGTTCCAATTGGCCAAATTTGGGACAATTTGAACATCAAATTAAATAACAATAGTGACAGATTATAAACCAAAGAATAAAATAAGAATTCATGAGTTCATATTGATGTAAATGAATAAAAATTCTTTCTTATAGTAGAGTGCCAACCAATGCGTAGAAGAAATGAGGTAATTAGTAAATCACCCTTTATTAAACACTGTTGTAATAGTTGACCCAAGCAATAATCAGCAATGGATGCTAAAAGTAGTATGAAAAAGTTTGATCACGAGGAGAGTATATTTACATAGTCTCAAAGTAAATCCCCAGAAAATCCTTTTAATTACAAAAGGAAAAGCAGTAACTTTACAGTGGAGAAACGTTGCTTAATCAAGTGATATAAGTTTGAGTTCTGGTGAGTTTGTAACACCAGTACAAGCAGATGTTGTGTACTTCCTGCTATGAAGGATACAACATCACTTTTTTTTTTTTTT